GTAAAGCGAAATAAAAAAGCCCATTGAAATGCATTGAAAACCGTTCAATGCGTTCCAATGGGCTGAAAACTCACCGTCCAGCAAAGATCCTCCATAGGGACGGCCATTTTTGGGTGCCTGTAAAGCAAAAGATGGCTCCTAAACACAGCGGGGAGCCATTTTGCACATCCAGCGGCCATTTTGAAACCCGACGATCAGCTGTTTTTGATTGTCATAAAGCAAAAATTGGTTCCCAAAGCAGGGAACCGATCATTGCAAAGCAGATTTTCCCCATTCAAACCATCGTTTTGTGATTGCAAAAGCGATCACAAAAACATTGTTGTCAAGCGGATTCGTCGGGGTTATCATCTTATGTCTCCTCTCCCTGCCACCTTGGCGTAAACTTTGTCATAACAGTCTAGTAGATTTTTTATGATGGACAGATGTTTGTTTGTTTAACAAACAAGCAAATTCAGCTTGATTTACCAGCTCTTGTCTGAACTCACATATATCCAGTGTTAGGTTTATTGAGTTTAAAATATTTCTAACCTTTGTCTTTGCAAAGGCATTTAACAAGCAAGATTGTGAATAGGCTGGAAATATTGATTGGAAAATTCTTTCAACCTTGCTCAAAGGCCTGTTTTAAACACTTGTCCCAATTTCTGCCTTCTATTTGTTACACAGTGAATGATCTTGGAGGTGACTTCAAGGGTCATGGAAAGAGCTCCTCAGCTGCTGACAAGGTTGTTGAAGAAATAAGAGCCAAAGGTGGAAAGGCAGTGGCTAATTATGGTAACGTTTCTTCCCTTTCTCTTTTACCCATTCTCCAAAATTGGGCAGATAGGTAGAATATTGTGAGGGACAGATGAGAACCCTGGGGTGCAATAATCAGAACACCATAGTCACAGGCTGCTGGTTGGAATGTCTACTTAATGGGAAACAATTTCTGTAGACCACCACCATTCCATTTCCTCACTTGTCATTCGTTGGGTCCTCCATTCATATTGTTATTTTCATTGAAAATGACGGATGTCTTTCTGGGCCCAAGCCTGGCATTAAAAAAAAAACAATGCTACCAGGCTTGAAGAACCCTCCGCATGGTCATCTTTACTTTCTTGGGTTGGCAACAACTTGAAAGGAGGGAAGGGCAACTAGCACTTTACCCTCTGTTCCCTGCAAGGGCCGAACTGTACCATCATTAAATGAAGAAGTCCAGGTTCAGTTGACCTGATTCTGGGAGATCCAGCCAAAGTATTGCAGTAAACTGAGCAGCCTTATGGACTATATTCTTCTAGTGACAGAGTGCCCCCAGGATCTTAGTTTCATGAGTCTTTTGGTCATCACTGAGTTTGGTCTTTAAGCAAGTAGCATTTTAATGTATTTTTGGTTACTAATGAAATTTACTGCTTTGGTGACTTTTATGGTGTGGTGTCAGAAGCAGTCCTAAGCCTAGAAGGCTGAAAATAATCAGTCAGTTTCGAAAGAGAAACCCCCCCAGCATAGCACATTCTCTCTTTTATCCCTTGGTGGCTTTGAGATGTTTATTACCTGCTAAAGAATGGAAGGCATGAAAGAATACAGGGGCTTGGGGCCAACCAAGCAGATGTACTGTACTATGCACCTGGCAAGGCCTTGATTTGCACTTCCCACTGAAGTCCTCTGTATCAAATAGGCCTTCCTGGAAGAGCATGTGTTATAGAGGTTGTGGGCAGGGAGAGAATATCCTTATTTTGGCGCATGAATTTCACATGAGTGCTCCTCACTCTGAGGGCAGTCTGGATCCAGCTCAATTCTTTTCTTTTCTTTTTCTGATCTATCTGTTCTTTCCACCTATAGTATATATTTTATAGGAAGGACGTTTCAGGTACAGTAATCTTGAATACACCAAGAGGAAATGCTATCATTGTAGCATATGTATGTGTGTAAAGAAGTTTCTAGCAAATTGCATTTGAATTATCATCTTACGTCTGCTCTCCCTGCCACCTTGGTGTAAACTTTGTCGTAACAGTCTAGTAGATTTTTATGATGGACAGATGTTTGTTTGTTTCCTATAATTTATTTCCGCAGATTCAGTGGAAGCCGGTGAGAAGCTGGTGAAAACAGCACTTGATGCATTTGGGAGAATAGGTATGATTTCAAGCTCATGTGCACTTACTCTGGGGTGGGTAGGTTAGAAGATGACTCCTGCCTTTGCCTTGTCAGTTATATTTTCACTGGCAGGATGACTGCTTCATTTTAAAAGTGCAAGTTGTTATTTGGAGGTGACTCTGCTAGAAAGAAATACCAGCTTTGTTAGACTATTTTACAAATTTTGTGTGTGAAAAATCTGTCCTCATTAGATATTTCTAGGAGTGAGTAAGAGATTCGCAGTGCCTTCCCACCATTACTTTTGAGAATAGTTCACCCATTTAAAGTTTTGCTTAGGAGATAGCTTAGAAGTGGGGGAGATGATGGTGGGAGTTGCAATCCAACAATATCTCAACAATATTCTCCAGCTCAGATGCAGAGAGAGGGCAAGGCTACACTCACCATTTTGGTGCCACATTGGTAATGCTGTATCCTGAATAACATGGGGTTTGATCTCCACCAGCATAGGCTGGTGATTGTCCTGCCAGAATAAGGATATCTTTCAGAGAGGTAGCCATGTTTGTTGCAACAAACGTAATAAAGGCTGGAAAGGTGCAGTGGAACTGTTTGTGGCATTTCCATAAGGTGAGCAGTGTGACTTCCATGGATCTTGTGCAAAGAGACATCCAGAATATAAGGTGGGACCTCCACCTGGCCATTGCAACATCTGTGCAAGCAAAAGATCCCACGTTCTCTGGGCTGGTGGAGTGACTAGCATTCTACTGTTGACTAGCATGATCCTGTAGCGTTCGGCCCTGCCCTCACTTGTCCGTCACAGCTGAGCAGTGGAAAAGGAGCCAATGAGGGGACGGAAGGTGGTGCAAAAGGGGGAGGTGCTGGGATATAAAGGGAAGTGTATTGTGTATGGAGAGGGAGATCTGTGAGTCTGTGAGAGAGTGAGCCAGAAAGTCAGTGAGAGTAGGGTTCTGTGTGTCAGTGAGTTCAGTGAGTGAGAGAAATTGATTAGCAACTTGTGATTTACCTATTATATTTTACTGATCAAATAAACAAGTTTAAGTTTTAAAGCAACACATGTCTCAGTAAATAATTGGTACCGAATTGATATTGGTGGCGGGACCTCCACTTGGCCATTGCAACATCTGTGCAAACGAAAGATCCACGTTTTCTGTGCTGGTGGAGTGTTCTGTTCTACTATTGACTAGCATGATCCCAGCCAAAGAGTCTTGTGGCATCTTAAGGACTAATCCCAGCTAAAGAGTCTTGTGGCATCTTAAGGACTAACCCATACAGTATGCCATTATGGAAGGAAATCTTGTACTGTAATAAATTTGTTGATCTTTAAAAGTATGTTGTTCTTGAAGCTACTGTGGTACTTCTTTGGCATCATGTATGACTTTGCATTATGGGACATCTTGTCATACAGTATGCCATTACGGACGGAAAGCTTGTATTGTAATAAATGTGTTGTTCTTTAAAAGTATGTTGTTTTTGCAGCTACTGTGGTACTTCTTGGCATAATGTATGACTTTGCATTATGGGACATCTTGCTTCCCGTGCCAAACAAAGTTCAGGATCTACTGAAATCAAGCAATGTTTGCTTCCCAGTACTTGCCCTAATCAACTGTGATCAGAACAATTAACCTGCTTTCTTTTGTGGTGATTATAGATAAAACCAAAATAAAAATAAAAGAACAAATTAAAAAGACAAAAATGTGGTGGCACCTTAAAGACTAACTCTTATATTTTAATGTGATCTTTTGTGAACAAGTCCACTTCCTCAGACGCAACAGAAAGAGATGGCAAATATTCATACATGGCATCAAAATGCCGATGTCGCGGGTGGCTGGTTAGAAAGTCACTTTTGTGGTGGAAAGACTTTCAAACTGGACTGCATTTCATATCAAGATTGACCAGTTTGAAGATGATGTGTAGGTGGCTTGACAAGAGGGGTGACTTGGTCATCAAGAAGGTGTCTGGAGTTCTCACGTTTTGCACAGAACTGAAGGGTAATTCCTTTCATTAAATGGCAGGAGAGGATGCACAGGGAAATAGTTTCCAGATATAATAAAGGCATTTATCCTAATACACTAAAATCAGAATCTTTGTCTTCCTGGCATCTCCTGCCCATACAGCTTTTCCCAGAAGAAGAGGGTTGTACAAGGTGCTTGTGTGAGACCAGCCAAAATGCAAACCCTAAACTAGGCATGTACAAAAGGTGTCCTGGCTGAGCCTCTCACTCGTGTATCTTTTCCACACCAAAGTAATTTTATATATTAATGCTAACGTCTACAGTGGTCTGAAATTTGGGCCCTGCTGCACTAGCAAATGTTGTTGATAGTATTCATCAGCATACTCTTGTCCAGTATCTCAGAGATACTACGTACTTCATAAAATTCTGAAAGTGCCCCTGAATTAAAATGAGGAAGTTAAACCAGTTATGCTGTGTTCCAGAACGCAAGTAATGAACGTCTACAGCATTTTCCAAACTATAATAATCATTGAACTAATTCCAAGTAAAAATGCCCTCTGCTATATGTCTCTGCTTTAGAAGGAGCTGATCCAAATAAATCAGTCTTATGTGATAAGGCCAGAGACAGGACTCCTTTAACCTTGGGCAGCTAAAAAGCATTTCATATTCCTGAAGTATTTTCTCCTTCTCTCTCTCAGTGGTTTGAATAGTTACTTAAAGAAAAATGATGGTTATTGACATGTGAAGCAATCCCTAACTCTGTGGTTCCCAACCTTGAGTCCCCGGACTGCAATTCTCAGAAGCTTTTACTGCTCGCTATGCTGGCCAGGATTCCTTCTGAAAGTCATGCAGAACACTTTGGTGCTTTAGAACAATGTTTCCCAGCCTTGGATAACCGAGGTGTTCTTGGACTACAACTCCCGGAAATCCTGGCCAGCACAGTTAGTGGGGATGGCTTCTGGGAATTTTAGTTGAATAACTTCTGGGGACTCTAGATTGGGAACCACTGCCCTAACAGTCCAGTGGTACTCTTCACACAGGGCATGTGCTTCACATACAGAAGGTCCCACACTCCGTCTACAGCACCTCCAGAAAGTGCTGGGAAATTCCAGTGAGCCACTGCCAGTTAGCGTGGACAGTACTGGGCTAGTTGGATGAATCGCTTTGTATGACACAACTTCTTATATTCTTATGTTCCTACCCTTAGTTATGGATGATTAAAATGCATGTCTATAGTTATTCCTCTTAACAGTAATTTTCCAGACTCTGGAAAAGGTACCAAATCAACATTGTCATGCATGTCAAAACTGGAATAGTGAAATTGTATCATAATATTTTGTCTCCATTTATTTTGCAGATATTCTTGTCAATAACGCTGGGTAAGTGTACTTGATTGTAAATTTGTTTTACTCCATAATGCCATCATATTATGACATGTTTTGATTCATTTTATTCTGTTTTCCTTCCTTTCCATCCATTCAGGATACTGAGGGACCGCTCATTTGCTAGGATCAGTGATGAAGACTGGGGTGAGTGGATGGAAGTAGATGAGTCCATTGTTTAATAGAAATAGCCAAATTTCATTTGAAGGTTTGTATCCCTTCAAGAAATATATTCAGCTTCTTGAATTCTTTTCAGATATCATTCACAAAGTTCATCTGAGGGGGTCCTTCCTGGTAACTCGAGCAGCATGGGATCATATGAAGAAACAAAATTTTGGAAGGTAAGTTTGTTTGATCACTGGCAGAATGTTCTGTAGGTGGATTCAAGGTTATAGCAAGAGAAAAAGCACACCATGTGGCTGTGCTGTATTGATTCCTACTTCTCCATAAACATTTAACTCTATTGGAAGAGAAGTATTGAGTTTCTTTGAAAACAGAAATGTCTGCAGGGCTTCACAGCATTTCTGATGGTTATTAATGAGTGATAGTGATAGGTATTACTGATCAGTGAATTTTATTTTGTATACCGTATGATATTAACTGTATGATGATAGTCATAATAAATATGGCACTTAACTGTTATGCAACAATTTCATTTATTGCAAGAGTGTCATGTGCATTTTAGTTGTAATCCTTTAGTTAGTATTATTTATTTATTATTTATATTTTATTTATTTGATTTGTATCCCGCCCACTTTTGTTTTGTTTTCATTTAAAAAAACCCAAAAGCAATTTACAGAATTTTAATGTAATGCAATGAAAAACTGATAAAAACAATAAGCCATTTCATTAAATAATATAGGTGGCAGGAGGGAAATGAAGTTTGGGAGAAAGGCATGTCTGTTGAGTTTGGCAGAGTCAAGATTTGCCCCTGCTGTTTTTGTTTGTTTGTTTTTGCGGGAAAGTCAAAAATGGTGCTGGGGAATCCTTCTGCCGGGGGACATCTGAAAGCGGCAATCGCAGTTGCAGGGGACCCCCGGCAGACCTCCAATGGTGCTGGGCAAGCCTTCCTCAGCACCATTTTTTAATTTCCCACCCTTTTCCCCTGCCCTTTTCCATTCGGAGGCTTGCCGAGCACCATTGGAGGCAAGCCTCTGAATGGAAAAAGACAGGGGAAAAGGGCAGGAAAGTCAAAAATGGTGCTGGGGAAGTTCTTAGAGGCTTGCCCAGGGGACCTCTGAAAGCGGTGATCATGGTTGCAGGGGCCCCCCGCCAGTCCTCCGATGGTGCTTCCCCAGCTCCCTACCTGGTAAATGACATTTTCAGAGTTTTTTGGCCCATAGGAACGCAATAATTAAATTTCAATGCATTCCTATGGGAAAACGTACCTCGCAAGATGAAAATATCTTTGTCTTGTGGGGCACCAAAAAACTCACAAGACACTTTCATCTTGCGAGTTTTTCGTTGCCCGAGGCATTCGTCTTGCGAGGTACCACTCTATTTTGGGATGCTCATTTAACCAACAGACTAATGGAGTTGAACGTTAAAGATCATATAAAATATATTGCTCTTTCAGTTCGCTTTCAGAAAAAGAGGCTTTCCATTCATTCATTCAGTTTCTATTCTGTTCCATATTGCATACACAGTCTTGACTGTTTACAGCAGGGGTGTCCAACCTTTCACCTTCCCCGGGCCACATTAGAAGATGAAAATTTGGTTTGGGCCACACATAAATTTGGTTTGGGCCGCATGGGGGGGCAGCCCTAGCCGTCCTCCGCAGCCCCGCTCCAAGTGCGCTTACCGGCAGCTGCGATCTCAGACAGCAGAGGCTGTCAGCTTCGACTCTGGCAGCTTTATGGGGCCTAGAGGGGGTCCACCTATTGACGGGGATGGCACAATGCAGTCACGCAGTCCCCCTCTCCCCTCCCCTCGCACTCCTTCCTTCCCTCTCTCCCCTCTACTGTTGTGACGTGCCCCGGCCACAAGCGCCGGCAGTGTAACTTGGAACTTTGGAATTTCTTTAAAATGGCCGCAGGTTGGACAAGCCTGGTTTACAGCATTTCATGTACATCTATACCATGTAATGTAATGTTTATATTCAGTCACAATTACATTACATTACATTGGAATTCTTTAAAACGACAACAATTCAATCTGTGATGCTTTCATATTTTTGCCACTTAAGAAAGGAGGTATTTGTGGTCTCATTGCACCAGTGCAGGTCAGGGTAAATTCAAAAGCGATCCCCACTTGTGTAATGGCAGTATTTGAACAAGTGGGTGATCCTGCATTACTGTTCCAACAGGTCTTTGTCCTGCACTGGTGCTCAGTAGTATTATGGCCACCATATTTCCAAGAGTTTGGGTTACTTTTCCATGTTGGATGGTTTTGTTTATGTGATGACTCCCACTTGCAATTATTCCCATGTTGTTGCTGTTGTTGTTTTCAATTAACCATCCTCTCAAACAATCCTTACATTCCATCCGAAGATGCTGTATATTATCCTTTACTCCTGGCTATGTTGTTATGTGTTCACAAGAGAAGTAAGGTATAGCACAACCATTTTTCTCTCAGGAGTTTTTCACTACCAGTACCAGAATTCTATCTGTGTTTATTTGGAATTAAATCTGTCTGCATTCAAGAGCATTTGCACTATGTTGTTGTTGTTTAGTCGTTAAGTCGTGTCCGACTCATCATGACCCCATGGACCAGAGCACGCCAGGCTCCCCTGTCTTCCACTGCCTCCTGGAGTTTGGTCAAGTTCATGTTGGTAGTTTCGATGACACTATCCAACCATCTCATCCTCTGTCGCCCCCTTTTCTTCTTGCCTTCACACTTTCCCAACATCAGGGTCTTTTCCAGGGAATCTTCTCTTCTCATGAGATGGCCAAAGTATTGGAGCCTCAGCTTCAGGATCTGTCCTTCCAGTGAGGACTCAAGGTTGATTTCTTTCAAAATGGATAAGTTTGTTCTCCTTGCAGTCCAGGGGACTGTCAAGCATCTCCTCCAGCACCACAATTCAAAAGCATCAATTCTTCGGTGGTCAGCCTTCTTTATGGTCCAGATCTCACTTCCATACACAGCTAATGGAAAAACCGTAGCTTTGACTATGCAGACCTTTGTTGGCAAGGTGATGTCTCTGATTTTTAAGATGTTTTCTAGGTTTGTTACCACTTTCCTCCCAAGAAGCAGGTGTCTTTAAATTTTGTGGCTGCTGTCACCATCTGCAGTGATCATGGAACCCAAGAAAGTAAAATCTGTCCCCTTCGATTTGCCAAAAGTGATGGGACCAGTGGCCATGATCTT